TGAGCATGCGTCCTGCATCCCTGTACTTACTGAGCATGCGTCCTGCATCCCTGTACTTACTGAGCATGCGCTGTGTACCAAACGCTGTGCCCGGCTGGGAAACCATTGAACCCAATGGAGGAGGCAGCCGCCCAGATTGGCAGCTTTGGTGTAATCCGAAGGACGACGGTAGAGATGAACAGAGGGAACAAAAATACAGCAGGCTGCGTCGCTGGCGTCAGGCAGCTCTGGACGAAGAGCTTTCACACCGTAAGACATGGAGCTGGAAACGGTGGTTCTCAATGGGGAGACTGTGTCCCGCACGGAGCCCTGGCAAGGTCGGGAGACATTTTTGGTTGCCAGGGATGAGCATCTAGTGGGTGGAAGGCACAGAAACTCCCTCCGAGGCACAGAAGAACAGCCCTCGCATGGAAGAATCATCCAACGCCTGATCTCAGGGGTGCTGCGGCCGAGACCCGGTGTTCGGACCCACCTGCACGTGGGTTGAAGCCTCCCTTGGCCTCCAGGCACTTTGGTCTTTGCTCTCTGGAAATCTAGGGATGCCGCATGTACAGAGCAGGCTCAGATGCATGTACGTTTGCTATAAACCGAGACTAGCCCCAGCGCAGGGTGAGAAAATATTCCTGGCTTGGGATCCTCTGTTAATACCTGCAGCTGGGGAAACACCAAAAAACTCTCACGCAAGAGATCCAGGGAGATGCGGCAGAATCTGGCAGCCAGAGGAAAAAAGAGAAGCAGCACCGGGGCACGTCACCCCGAGCTGCCAGGCCTGTGCACCACTGAGGAAGGCAGTGACGGAGGCTGGCAGTGCGGAGGGGCAGGAGCTGGAGGGAGACCCCCTCTGAGGGGCAGGCACAGGGGACTCAAGGACAAGAGTGCAGCAAGGACACTGGAAAAACCCTCCAGTACCACAGTCCCCGCAAGGTGACCAGGAGGGGCTAGACACTGATGGTGTGACCAGGAAGATAGCTGCAAGACCCAAGCAGTGCCCGACAGCTGACAAGACCAACCCACAGAAGAAGGCCTGTGTCCTTTCCAGGCATGAAGACTGTGGCTCAGCGTTCCTCAGAGGATAAGAGGGAGCAGGGGTTCCACGACACCCCCACCCACCTTGGCCACTCAGCTTGGGGCCAATAAAGGGCAATACTGAGGCTCTGACCTCAACCCGGGCATGATGGCCCTCAAAGACCTAGAGGCTTTCTGATGCCTGCATCAGCCTCTGATCATGCAGCCCTCCATAGTTCACTAATGTCTTTAGTGATCTTCATAATGACATGACTGTTCCGTGTGGTCAGTGACACACCAGGTTCTGGGCCCTTCATAGGGTGTGTCCTGTGTCATCCTCTGATCCTCAGGAGATACCAGTATTTTTGGTGCCTCCATTTCATAAATGAGGAGACTGAGCCCAGGAGAATTAGCTAACCCCAGAGGCTCAGAGTTGGCCGCATTCTCACAGCCCTGTGCGGTGGAGATAGAGCCCCAGGCTTTCACGTGAGGCCAAGTCCTGATCTATCCGTGTGATCACTTCCACACGTCCACATGCCTGGTCACATCTATCGACCTTCACGCTAATCCAGCGGCCTGAATTAGTCGAGTATTTTCCCAATTATAAGATGAAAACTCTGACGCTCATAATGTGCTAAATATCTCTCCCAGCAGTAAGGGGCAGGACAGGCTCCCAACCCCAAGTGTGTCTGCCGCCCAGGCCGCCTCACCTCTGCTGGCAGTAGCACTTGTCTGTACACATTTGCTGACTGCCAGCCACACATGTGGCATCCGTGAAGAACTGTCAGTCCACACACTTCTGCCTTTATCCTTGGGAACCTAACAATAGGCAGTGTTAAGACATGAGATGTGTCACAGTCACAACTTAAGAGATAATGGTGCTGTCTTGCCTTCTACAGGTGCAGAAACCCATCCCCAGGGACGTCAGAAGCCAGCAGGTCACAGGTAAAGTCATGTCACAGAAAGTCTGACATCTGAGCATGAGAACATCTAGCATTTTAGTTTGTGGTCATGGATTACCCTAAACAAGGCGATCCATTGAATTACCCATCAGGAACTACCAATCTGATTTTAGAAAGAGGTTCACATGCCTTATTCCTTTTTATCACCTTACCTTATTGATGGAGAAATTGATGATGAAAACTCGTATGCTGTGCCGTGCGGTTTTAGAGAGGAATTGTTTTGAAACATATGGATCGAATTAAATATATAACTTGGTTATTTCTCTAAGCATACCCCAGAAAAATTGCAAGATAGAAATCTAATTTTATAATGTTGATTAATTAATCTGAAAACAGATTTTAAAGCTTCCAGCAAAACAACTCAATTTGAAGATGAAAATACAGGTATGAGCCTGAAAGCAAATAATCAATTTCAGCAGAGCAAGCAGCACAAATGGAGGACAGCCAAAGAAATTAACTGGATAATATCAATGCTGGCTTCTCTCAGCGTTTTTCCCGTGCCCCTCTCTTCTCAGACTGCCCAGTTGGAAAAGCTGACGATGCCGTGGGTTTAGTTTTCCCAGTAACTGAAACACACCAAACTCCCCGTTTGTGCCCAGTGCTGTGTCCCACAGTGTATCACTAATACCACCTTTTCCTTAATGGGAAACAGTTAGGGCCCCAACAGGAAGCAGATGGCACACTCAAACTAGGATGATTCAAGGAAGCTTATGACCAAGGAGCCCTTCACCGAGGGGTCTGTGTGTGCTGCGTCCGGGTGGGCCCGTCATCACCCCCAGGCCCAGTGGGATGAAGGGACGATTACGGGAACCACAAGGACCATGCCACCTCAGTCAAGAGACATCATCAGTCTGGGGGACCTCACAGGGAGGGAGCCACATGGCACACACCCGAGCTCTCCCTCCAGCCTCCCTCAGACCTGCTGGGACTCCCCAAAGGCTAAACCATCAGAAAGGAAAGGCCAGTGCAGCCCAGGTGTCCCCTCCCCCACTCCATCTCCCTGGGCAGAGTACAGGGTGAAGCCAGGTAGAGGGTGTCCCTGTGGGGACAAAGGAAAAGTACTCACAGCAGGAGGCACACTCTGCAGCTGGAGCAGGGGAGTCATCCACACAGGGGCTCTGCCACTTCCTGGCTGCGTGACCGCAAGACACCGGCCTTTCTGAGTGGTTCTTGCCTCTTCTTGAAACATGATGTGAACTAGCTTCCCTGGCCATGTGCACCAGCTGCGTCGGAGGGGGTCGGTCCTGCAGGGGTCGAAACGGTGGTGGTTCCCTGGTCCACTGCTCCCCTGCACCCTCACAGCCTCCTGCCTATCTTCCCCCCATCCCCCTCCTGAGCCCCCACAACTTAGGGAAGCTGCCGGGGCAGGGCCTCCGTGGTCCTCAAAAATGTTGATGCCTTTGACGGCCACAGCCTGTGATTCAGAGATGTCCCCACTAGCTGATGCGTGTGTTCCTTAAAAGTGATCAGGAAGAGAAATTATTATTCACCCCTCTTAACATGTAAAGGGATGAGCCCACGCTCATTTGATGTGACATGTCTGGGTCATACCGGTGGGCTCCGTGGGTACTCAGGGACGAGTCCTTGGAGAAACAAGACTGACGGTTTACAGTTCGTGTGGACACCCGCCTGGCTTTTTGATCCCACATATCAACATGTCTGTTTCTTCATCACCATGTCTGTCTACATCTTGGCCAAGTTCACAAAAATACTGGGAGCAGTTAATAAAAACTTGAACAGTAAAGTAGAAAAAAATCTAGCTATAGGATATGATTAAGACAGAGATAAAATTTAGGCTCCTCAGGCACACATCTCTAATTTCTATTCAAATTAAACCATTCTTTCGTTTCGGGAATTGAACTCCTTTATGTGACATAAATTTAATGTCATGACTGAGTTTGTGCTGCCTACTCGAAGCAGGACGTGGGCTAGCATATGGGCACCAGAGCTGCAAAGATATGAGGGGGCCCTAAAGCAGACCCTCGTGTAAGCTGGGGCCGTGACCGCAGGGAGGACCCTCGGGAGCGAGGCTGAGAGGAGCCGGGTCGCGGGGTGGGAGGCCGCGTGGGAGGTGCGTCACTGTCTGCCAACGACGGCCACGGAGGAGGAAGCCAGAGGGGGAAAGTTAACACGAACGCCCCATTTCTAGGATCTTGCTGAAAAATGTTGGGATGATTTATGTGTTTATTACCAAATTCTGTATTTTTGATGCAAACACATTCTCAGATAATTTATTCACTCTCACAAAATGTCATCGAAAAAAACATATCTGTTGGTTCCATAATGGCACGATTTCATTCAAGTTGAGCAGTTATAGATTTATGTTAATGTACTTTTTGTGTCATTTTTCTTGCAATCATATTCTGACATTATCTAGAAACTGTCAGATTTCAAGAACTTATCTTCCCTAAAGCTTGACTTTTTTTTTTTAAAGTACTGAAAGTGAATAAAATTTTATTGTGCCACTAGCATTAGATGGGGATGGCTGAAATTTTCAAATCTGAGGTAGCTTCTCTTCCTAGAGAAACCAAGGCTGAGACTAAAGCGGGCTGAACGGTGTTTCCCTTTGCCTTAGATGTGAGCCAAGCACTAGCTCCAAAGCGATTCTCCCCGAGGTGTCAAGCGTACGAGGACGTGAGATTATGAGGGAACACAGTAAACCGCCCGAGAAAAGAAACAGAGACTCAGCATCCACAGGCTCCTGGATGTGTATATCCAGAAACACAAGACTGGTTGAATTCCACGCAATTCCATCAAAGGGCCTTTATGCTAGTTTGCTTTTGGACAAGTTTAAGTACCAGATAAATAAAAATCAGAACTGAGATTAATTTGGTTCAATCTCCCAGTTGACATGAGGAGCCTTCACCAAGGAAGTGGCTCCCTCAAGATCAGCAGCAAGAAGGCAGAGCCCAGGCCTAAGCCAGTGTTTACTCAGCAGTGGTAATGTCCTTGGTTTTACTGTGCCTGGGTCGCTACGAAAGTCTTGAGACAGACTGTATTATGGTCTGTAATTTCACTTCCAAGAAACACAGTGGACAGCGTCCTTCCTAACTGACCTGTGCACATATTTGCTAGGGTATAAAAATCATTCTGCAGACTCTTTTTTCCCCTACTTGGTACCCCATTCATCCAAATTTCGCAAAGTTATGCGCTGAAGATGTGACTTGGTAGATGACACTGTCCCCTAGTGGCAGAATTTGGCAACACGCAAAACCTCACAGTTATGATGGGATTTGGTGGCCTGTAGATTACAACTTTCAGGCAAACCTGAGGTCACAGAGTTGATCAGAAATAAATTTAAGATTATTTACCTACCATGTTAAATTTAAATTTAGTTTAGCCACAGCACATGCCTCGAAAGCAACATAGGCATTCATATGATACTTGATTGAAAGTTAATGCTGTAAACATTATGAAATCACTCATTAATGAGACTGCAAAAGATTCTGCCTCATCATCACAGGGACGGGGAAAGGGGATGGGGCTCTGCTGGCTCGTGGTACAGCAAATGTACTTTCCGACAGAGAAATATAAAGTAGCCACAAACAGGAGAAGAATTTAAAACAAGGTATTTGATAAAAGAAGCCCAAGAAAGTCCACATCTCCCAAATAATAATTGGCCAATAAAGATCCGATTCCTAAGGGAGCTCCAACATACCAGAACTAACTAACTTTATATACACAGAACATGTTCCTCCCGTGAAATTATTTCAGAATTGCTTAATATACATGCATAATGAAAAGCACACTTCTAATTTCTTTGTAAATTTGGGATATTAACAAAAATCAGCCAGCCCAGTACACTCTGGACTGAAGGATCACCAAGACACAGGACTTCCAGAACTGAAGCTGATAACCAGCCTGTCTGCATACACAGCAGCAAAACAAAAAGAATTGTTTTGTATATTTAACAAAAGGTCTTAAAATAGCAGAATCTCCACCACCCAGCCCCTGCTTGTAACCAAAACAGGTGTACCTCTCACAGACAGGGAGCCGGCCCGAGGCCCTTGCCCCTTGCCCGGTGTCCCATGCAGCCTTCAGACAGCTCCAGTGCTGTCAGCTCCATCTAAGGACAATTCTGGATTCCTACGACTTCCTAAAGCTGCCAAAGTGCATTTTCATGAGAAATTGCATCTTCTGACCTTACATGAAGAGCTGCCAGAGCAGGCCGGCTTCTTCCACGTCCTCAGCTCTGCCCACCTTTGTCCCTCCCCACTGCAACCCCAAGAATGGTTTCGGCAATTGGTTGCTGTGGTTAATTTCTAAAAGTTTCAAAAGACTTGGAGAGTTTTCTCCAACAGGTCTTGCCAAACGCACATTACCAGCACGTGGATCAAAAGTTGCTTCTCCGGACTCTTTCATAATTAATCATCAGGATATGAGATGGTTTGCTTTCAGATATCACAAAACTCATAGGTACAATAAACTTGTGATTGAGACTAAATTTGATCCCATTCTATCCACAGTTTATGTCTTTAATTGCAGAACATTACCCTGATGGTCCATTTCTGAAAGTATTGATTTGCTTGATTCCATTTTATGGATAAAGGGCATTGCGTATTTTAGCACAAATTGAAGCTAAGTGAAAAATGAATATAGTGCTCATCCCTCATCTTTGATTTCACTCTCTCAGTTTCAGTTACCTGTGACCAACTAGGATCTGAAAATATTAAATAGAAAATTCCAGAAATAGACAATTATGCTATTCTGAGCAGCCCACTGTTTCTCTTTGTCCCTCCGAGGACCTGAACCATATCTTTGCCCAGCATTCATTTCCAGTCCTTATACACTGCCCACCTGCGGGTCACGTAGCCGTCTTGGTGACCAGATTGACTGTCAACATATCACAGTGCTTGTGTTCAAGTCACCCTCATTTTACTGAATTACGGCCCAGGAGTGCAAGGGTGGTGATGCCGGCAGTTCAGACACACCAAAGAGAGCCGTAAAGTGAAGAGAAGAACGTTCTTGAATTAAGGAAAGGGG